CTTCTTTCATTTACCTGTTGTCTTTCTATTCGGAATTGATATCTCCCCCACAGCATGCTCCCCCTCCCATACTTGACTGTTTACTTCTATATTTCTTTTCCGTTATATATATTTGAATCGCACAGGTTTATCAGGTAGTCTGGTCCTAGCCTCGTCACTACTTCATCGAGGTTAGGCTACACACTTACCAGCACATGGGGTCAGTTGTGCTGATACTACGCTCTGTAGTATGTGTAGATCCCGGAGCAGCTTTTGGACCATAGTTTGGAGGCTGCCTTTAGTCCACGCGGAGATCTAAGGTAGACTTGTAGGCGTCCACAGGCCCTGATGTCTCCTCTATCCTTTATTTCTTGATCTATATCTTTGCTTCAAAAACAGTGTGTCTTTTATTTACAGACCGTATGTGGTACTATGACACCAGTTCTGGGTGATTAAGGCTTAAACTGTTGTAATAGACACATGTTCAGATATTTTGTTGCTTTCTTCTACTTATTCTAAATTTTCGCTGCTTACACGTTATTATTTTATGTAATGTTAAAGAGAATAAAATTGATAAAAGGGGTAATTTATTTAATAATTGGCTTGCCTAGCTCACATTAGTAGGCGCCATCACGACTCCCGAGGGTGGAAAATCCGGGTCGTGACAACTCTAGGCTGGAAGGGCATTGAGTGACGAATGGTCCTGATGAGAACTGTGAGAACCATGACCCGATGATGCCCCACGATAACCTGGGCGAGCTAACTGAGCCTGCCTAAATGGACGGCCTCTGCCCTGCTGAAACTGACCCCTCGAAGGAGCACTACTAAAGCTACCAAATCCCTGAGGCCTCTTGGCCTCCCTCTCCTCTCGCTCCTGGTGGCGAACTGACTCAATCTCACGGGCGATGTCAATAACCTCCTTGAAAGTAGCACTCGTCACCCTCTCCCTATTCATGAGAATCCGAAGCTGATATGTGAGGCCATTAACAAACCTCATGATCCTCTCTCGATCTGTGGGAACCAACTAGACCGCATGACGAGCTAACTTAGAGAACCACATCTCATACTGCGTCACAGTCATCTCTCTCTGACGCAACTACTCAAACTGCTTGCGCAGGTCCTCTCGGTAAGACTGTGGCACATACTTCTCCAGAAAGAGAACAAAGAACTGATGTCAGGTAAGGGGCGCTGCACTAACAGGCCTATGCCTCTCATACGCCTCCCACCAAGTAAATGCAGTCCCAGAAAACTGAAAGGTAGTAAAAGCTACACCATTGGTCTCTAGAATACTCGTTATACGAAGCATCCTCTAACATTTATCCAAGAAGCCCTAGGCATCCTCGCCCTCTGCACCGCTGAAAGTCGGAGGTTGGAGTCTACCAAACCTCTCTAATCGACACTACTCGTCATCCAGCATAACTGGTACCACATATTCCTGAGCTAGTGCAACAGGCTGGGCTGGAGATGCCCTCGGTGTTTCGAGTTCCTGCACAACCTGCTCAGGTGTGCGAGCAACGGGAGTCTGGGTACCTCCCCCAGTCTGAGAAGTACTTGCGGCCGTAGTAATTGAGACCGCCTAATCCAAACTGGTACACACTGATAAAATCTGAGCTAAAGCCTCTTGGAGGCCTAAAATCACAATAGACACAGATGGTGCCTGAGTTGGCGCTGCTGGAGCGTCCACAACTTGGACCTGATCCTGAATTGGCGCAATTGGTGGATCTGTAGGTGTTGTCCTAGCCGCTCTGCCCCTACCACGGCCTCGATCACGTCCTCGGCCTCTAGTGACCCCAGCTGGTGGTACTGGCGGTCGTCTATCCTGTCCGATAGAACGTGTCCTCACCATCTGTGATAGAATGGAATAACAGAAATTTAGTACTCGGGTCAACAAATTCGCATGACAAGAATTTCAAGAATATGAAGTTTTTCCTAAAGGTTCTGCAGCCTCTCGAAGATAAATACAGATGTCTCCATACCGATCAGCGAGACTATACTAAACTGGCTCTTAACTCGCGATACATATGTAACCTAGGCTCTCATACCTACTTGTCACGACCCCAAATACCAAGTCGTGATGGCGCCTATCACATTACTAGGCAAGCTTACCCAAACATCCATCATAACCGTTTTCTTTTAATAAACCATTTTCTAACACAGGTTTAAATACCAAATTTTCATAATAAGTGTCTAAAACAACTAAAATGTGCGGAAGTCAATAAAACATAAAAACAACACAGCCCAAACATCTGGTGTCACAAGTCTAGAGCCTCTAAATACATAACCGACTGTTTAATACATCAAAAGTAGGGCTGTGGACGCCATGCAGCTACCTTGCAATCTCCGGAAAACTCTGGATAAGCTGAGGACCCTCACTCTATCGTCGTAGGCCAACTCAGTAACTAACTAGAGTAAATAATGTTTAAAAGCAGTGACGAGCAGTTAAAAATCATATAATTGAATAAATAACAGGATAATAGATCAAACTCCATAGTTTAAAACCAGTTTCATCATAAAATCTTCACTTTAAGTTTAAATACTTGAAATCATATACTTAGCAATTTTTCAACAGAGACTTATTTTAAAAGAAGAGTGAAATCAATAAAAATATCATAACTGGGCCCCTCAGGCAAGGTATCACTTAAAATATGGCCTCCCGGGCAGCCTTTCAATCACTCGTGACTCAACTCTCGTCACTCAGTACTCATTATCAACACTCGGGCTCATTAATATCTCATAATAATAGAACCGCCATGGCGTGCAGCCCGATCCTTAGTTTATAGTCGACTACGCTCACTAGGGGTATACAGACTCCGGAGGGGCTCCTATAGCCCAAGCGTCACATCGGTGCGGTGCGCAGCCCGATCTAATATATATATAGTTGTGGCATGCAGCCCGATCCATATGAGTATCGCTGCAGCGTGCAACTCGATCCATATTCTCTACATATATAAATATCCTCACCATTAGTTTCTCAACCTCTCTCAGTCATTAACCTCATAGCCTCTCGGGCACAACAGTGGAAATTAGGGAACTCAGTCCAAACAGTCCTCACATTTAGAAGTAGAGTGATAAAATCAGTTTTAAACAATGAACGGGTAAAACATGACTGAGGGTATGCTTTCAAACAAGCAGAGTGAGGAACAACAGTAAAAATGCCCCTAAGGGTCTCAACATGTCGGCACAAGGCCCCAAACATGGCATACAGCTATAGTATAAATAATCTATAGTACGGAATATCATAAGGTTACAAATCAAATATGCGGCTTTATAGTCGCCACGGGATGGACCAATTCATAATCCCTACCAGCGAACGCCCACACGCTCGTCACCTAGCATGTGCGTCACCGCATTTATCAAAACAAGTCAAATACCGGGGTTTTGTACCCTCAATTCTAGATTTACAATGGTTACTTACCTCAAACCAGTGAAAATACTACTCCGTGATACCTTTGGCCCTTGAATTGGCCTCCACTCGCATCGAATCTATCCAAAATTAGAATCATGGTGTCAAAATATGCTAAGGGAACGAAGCCCAAGCGAAAATAATCAATATACGACACAAATCCCGAAATTACCAAAACCCGACCCTTGGTCCCACGTATCGAAACTTGATAAAAATCACATCAACGGAATCCTTATCCTTCCACGAGTCCATACATACCAAGAACACTGAAATTGGAGTCCAAATGACCCCTCAAATTCTCATTTTAAAGTCTCTTATTCTCAAGCCCTAATCCACAATTTTTCTTCCTTAATCTCCACTAATACCATGATTAAACAATGGAAAAATGATCATAAACCCAAATAATGAAGCATAGGGAACTTACCCAACTGATATCCCTTGATTTCTCTTGAAATTCACTGCCTTAGCCTCTTTCCAGTCTTCAAAAATGGAATACTTAGCAAAATTTCGTGAAAAAAACAATTTATACCTTCTAGCCCAGGCATTTTTGCATCTACGGCTAATTTACCGCTTCTACGGCACCGCATTTGCGGTCGATAAGCTGCTTCTGCGGTTTTCACTTATGTTCCCTTTTACTGCATCTGCGATGAAATATGCCGCACCTGCGCCTTCGCAGATGTGGTCCCACAACCGCTTCTGTGGTTCCTACCAACTTCACTAGATTTTCCTTCTGCGACCAACCCTCTGCATATGTGGCGCCGCACATGCGGTCCCCAATCCGCAGGTGCAGAAATACCAGAAGCGGCAAAAATCTGTAGCTCACCAAAAATCCAAACTTCTCCGTCAACCATCCGAAATCACCCCAGGCCCTCAGGACTTCAAGCAAAAGCACCAACATATTCCAAAACCTTATTCAAACTTGTTCCAACTTTCGTAATGCTCAGAACAACATCAAAACACCAAATTCGCATCGGATTCAAGCCTAAAAATTCCGAATCTTCTAAATTACGCTTTTGATCAAAAACCCAACCAAACCACATCCAAATAACCTGAAACTTTACACACACATCCCAAATGACACAACGGAACTACTGAAACTCTCGGAATTCCATTCCTACCACTATATCAAAATCTCACCTACCAACCGAAAATCGCCAAAAATCCAATTTCGCCAATTCAAGCCTAAATCTACTCCGGATCTCTAAAACTCATTCTGATCACGCTCCTAAGTCCCAAATCACCTCCTAAAGCTAACCAAACCATTGTAACTCACATCCGATCCCTCTAACACATATGTCAACATCCGGTTGACTTTTCCAACTTAAGCTTCCTCAAAAGAGACTAAGTATCTAAAACCTTACCAAATCCTCTCCGAACCCGAACCAATCAATCCAATCACATATGGAACCATTAGACAAATCAATAAGAAGCATAAACGGGAGAAACGGATCGGTAACTCATGAGACGACTGGCCGGGTCGTCACAATATTTGATTTAACACAAGTCAACTAAAACAACTAATTAATGTATATTAACAAAATACAAATTTTGTGCAGCCAATCCTGTAATCATAAAATCCACACAGAGTCTCTTCAAAATCTCCATAATCATGTCCTAGTCACTCTTTTGTAGTTTTATAACCGCTATCTTGCTTCCACTTTCCATGAGCCCAAAGATTAGCAGCCAATTCTCTCCTGAATGTCAATGTCTGACTTTGATCGAACTTGAAGACATCTTCTTTCTTCAACAGCATATCCATGAACTTAAGAGCAAATACACCACAATCAACACTACAAAAAGAACATGAAAAAGAAATTGAAGAATAGCTAACACAAGGGCAAAAAATAATAAACATAAGATGCATGGTAAAACATATGCAAAATACGTACTTGTTATCCTGCAGCGGTGTGTTCATCCACTTAATTTGAAATTTTTCCACATGACTTTTCCCATAACTTTTATTGTTTTGACCAAATTCCAAGCATTCGAGACAGTGTGGGATCAACCGGGCATAATTTCTGACATGTTCAAGTGCACGCTCATATGTTACATCGCCCATGGAATCATACATATAAATAGATTTATCTTTAAACTCCAGAATTCCAAAAATATAATGCGTAGATATTTGGCCTGACAGTGGCTTAAGTCGAAATGGAAAGAATAATTTTTCAGCAGATGCCCACATGATACCACAGGAAAGGTCGAGGCCTTTTACGTAGTTGGCCACCTTTTCATTCATTTATTCTTCAACAAACCAACTAAAGTCGGTAAGTGGCTCAATAACAGCTTCTTCTTATTCTTCATAATCCTCAAGTCCATGGTTTTTGGATGTCCTCTTTCTCTTTGATTTGCTCTTTTTTTATCGTCCATTCTCTTTTCCTTCCTTTTTCTAATTTTCTCCATCTATTGTTCTGAAGGATGAATACTAGCCAACTTGGTCATATACTGATCAAAAACTAAATCTGTTACTGCACTTCTTGATTGTGGATAACTTGGAAGGTGATAGCAATATTTTTTGCACAAGAAATATATGCCCACTTCCATATGCTGCAAATGAACAACAACAAATGAAAACATGTGAAATAAAAATTTCAGCATGCATAAGTATGAAGTTTAGAAAAAATGCATTACAAAACTACAAACAATATGACAAAAACTTAAGCATATTCAGTTTGATGTGTTAGGAAATAATCTAAAAAACTTCAGCATGTTTGATTTAAAAGTTTACAAAAAAAACTAGAGAATGCATGTCAAAAACATCAGCAAGGTTATGTTGAAGTTGTAGCAAATAAGCTAAAAAACTTCAGCAGTTTACTATGAATAAAGCTGAAGTTTGCCAAATTATAGTACAACAACTTTACTATAAAAATAAGCTGAAGTTTTGGGAAATATAGTAGAAAACCAATTCAAAAAACAAACTTAATAACTTATTTCATCCGAAATATCAGAGGTAGGATCCACAAGCGCAGTAAAAAAATGATTTTGGAATATCAATTCCAGCTAATCTGAATGGATTCGAATCGTATTCACCGGCATCTATCTCCAACCACTCTGTAAATCTTTTCATCAATCCACTATCTTGATTAACATAATGGAAGGGACACCTTCGTGTAGTCTTTCCTACTTTCCAATATTGCTCCCTTGTCTTTTTTTTAAGAATGACGTAAAGAGATCTCAACCAAATACTCTCCCAACGAATCATTTTCCCTTTTTATCTGGTTTTGTTTTTGCTTGCTCTTCCTGCTGTTCCGTCACAACTAACTACTGTTGTTCAACAGCAGGGGGAAAACCATAGCCATTGTGGCAGATACTTGACCAATTCCCTGCTATTCACAACGTTCTTGTCTCTCTTCACCAATAACAACAACAATAGAATTAGCTTCTGAATCAGTCCCTTGTGTACTACCCAGCTAAAATGAACATAAATTGAAGTTGGGGATATCACTGGTGTCATATATAGGAGAACTGAAAATCTTCCTTCTCTTAGGATTTGGAAGAAGTTGCGATGCATCAAATCAGATCTGCAAAAGCAAGGAAAATATAAACATTAATACAACTAATACAAAAACACATTAGGCAAAAAAATAACTTTTAATCAAATTGCAGAAAACAACTACCTGGTCTAAGTGTTGAGACACAGATGGTTTTTGCATTCCAACAGATCCATTTCCTTTACCTTCAGATATGCCTATATCTTCATTTAAAAAATACTAAATAATACTGACTAAATTTTATAAAATAATACCAACGCACTTCACACATGTCTGTGAGTCAACAGGTGTAAATAAATGTATTTCTCCTTTTTGATATAGTTGCATAAGCTCACCAAATTCTTTTTGAGCTGCATCGAGTCTTTCTTAAAAATCATTCAAAAATATAACAAAGAAAATAAAGTATGTAAAATTTCAAACTGTAAAAAATATACTTGGATCAAATGTAATAAATTCATGATATATAGAATACCTTGACGTTTGTCTTCCGCTATTGGTTCCACAGGCTGCATGCCTTTGTCGATATCAGCAGTAATTGTGCACCAACGTCGAGGAGCATTGGAGTATTCTCTGGAAGGTTTTTCTCACCTCTATATTTATTTAATTCAGCATCATCAGAGAGTTTTTGAGTTGTGTTAATTGAAGAACAACTAGTTTCAACTTCCANTATATATACATATATAACATAGAAAAAGTTTATACTTGTAGTGAAAATTTCACTACAGGATATTATCAAAAAAAATTAGTTAAAACTTCAACTCTAACAAGGCTAAAGTTCGCCAGTTACAAACAAAACTTTAGCTCTAGAGATGAAGTTCGACAGTTACAAAATAAAAACTTCAGCTCTTCGCCAGTTACAAAACAAAAAGTTCAGCACATTCAGCAAAAAACATGTAGTTTTTACAAAAAAAACAAAACACAAATTCAAATCCTAAAATAATGTTGAAGTTCATAAGAAGTATAACAAAAAGAAAACAAAACATGAAACAAAACTTCAGCTCCTACCTAAGGTATCATTGAACTATTATAAACTTCACACTTTATACCTGTAGTGAAAATTTTCTGTGTATCTTCACCTACAAGTTCCTTGCAAATAGCTAGTGTTTTTGCATACTGATTGTCTTTCCCAATAGTGCTAGAAACATCACTCGATGTCAGTTCTAAAATACCAATAGGTGTTTGATCTCCATCACCAAACAAATTGCCTTTTGCAATATCACTCCCCAAAGCACAACTCGGTGCATATTTTTTAGTATCAACAACTTGATCATTTGCACCTTTCTTAGTTGTTAACTCTTCATCATTTCTATATTTCTCTCTAACTTGTTGTTGAACACGTTCATCGCCTTTAACAGCCGCTTCCTTACGTGTAGCATTATCATCTGCGACTTTATGCGATGCATCATGAGCAGCATGTTCTTCAGTAACAACAATGTAACGACCCGACCGATCGTTTTGAGATTTTGCACTTTTCTCGCTAGTTCTCGGGATTGAATAGCCCTGTGTGATGTATTATGACTCATGTTAATCGTTGGTTTTGGTTTTTCAGGATAATCGGAATGAACTTGGAAGAACAATCCTCAGTTTGAAGTTTAAAATTTGAAGGGTTTGATCAAGATTTAACTTGTTGGTATATGATCTCGGATAGGAATTTTTAAGATTTGGTTAGATACGTAAGGTGATTTGGGACTTAGGAGCGTGATCGGAATGTATTTTGGAGGTCCGAAGTTGATTTAGGCTTGAATTGGCAAAATTGGGATTTTGGTGTTTTCCGGTTGATAGATGAAATTTTGACATAATGGTCGGAATGGATTTCCGGAAGCTGCAGTAGGTCCGTTGTGTCATTTGGGATGTGTGTGCAAAACTTCAGGTCATTCGGACGTGGTTTGGTGGACTTTTTGATCAAAACAAAATTCGAAAGATTTTGGAATCTTAGGCTTGAATTCAATATGATTTGGTTGATTCGATGTTGTTTGAGGTGTTTTGAAAATTGGTACAAGTTTGAGTAGTGGTATATGATGTGTTTGTCCTTTTGGTTGAGGCCCTGGGGGCCTCGGGGTGATTTCGGATGGTTGGCGGAAAGTTTGGGAGTTGGTTTTGACATCTGAAGATATTACTATCATAACCGCACCTGCGGCTAGGTGATCGCAGGTGCGGTCTCGTAGAAGCAAAAAGGGAGCCGCAGATGTAGTCAAGTGGAAGTCCTTCAGGAATCGCAGAAGCAGTGAAGTGGGCGCACCTGCAGTAGCGCAAGTGCGAGATTTTAACCGCAGATGCAGGTATGGTCATTTTAGTGAAAAACTGCATATGCGATGGATCAGCCGCAGAAACGGGACCGCAGAAGCTGCAAAAGGACCGCAGGTGCAAAAATGCCTAGGTCAAAAAGTATAAAAAGGTTCCCTTTGCGATTTTGAGTGGGTTTTCACCATATTTCATTTGGGAGAAGGCTTTGGAGAGCTAATTGAAGAGGAAACCAAAGGATAATCTTGTGGAGGTAAGATTTTTGACTTCATAACTCATTTATATGTGATTAAAGGCCTAATTAGTGGTGAAATTTTGGGAAAACTCAGTGCAAAATGGGTAATTAGGGCTTGAGACTAAGAGATCTTTGAGTGGGGATTTAAAGGGCCATTTGAGGTGTGAATTTGATGTTCTTGATATATATAGACTCGTGGGAGGATAAAGATTCTATTGATGTGATTTTTGTCAGGTTTAGAGGGGTAGGCCCGAGGGTTGGGTTTGAGCAATATCCGGATTGATGTTGTAAATTGATTATTTTCGCATGGGCTTCTTTCCCTTAGCATATTTTGACGTCGTGATTCTGATTTGGATAAATTTAACGTGATTTGAGGCTGATTCGAGGAGCAAAGGCATCGCGGGCTAGATTTTTGACCGGATCGAGGTGAGTAATGATTATAAATGTTGTCCTGAGGGTGTGAAACCCTGGGTTACACATCGTTGTGCTATATTGAGGTGACGCACATGCTAGATGATGAGCGTGGGGTCATGCACCATTGGGGATTGTGACTTAGTCCATCCTGAATGACGGTTCTACTGCGTATTTGATTAAAAACTATTTGCTATTATCATATTTTGGGCTGAATGCCATATTTGGGCCTAGTGCCAACTATTAGGACCCTTATGGGATTTTTATAGATATTTCCTCACTGTTTTGACTTTAAACTTGTACTCAGCCATGCTATATTCTTCTGTTTTTATAACTCAGCCATATTTACTCTATTTTAGCACATTAAGTGATATTTTAAATAATATTTTGGGTTGAGCATCATGTTTTACTGTTGCGCAAGTGGCTGATGAGATTTTGACTGAGTGATGCCGAGGTCCTATGTTGTGAGGATTCTTTTAGGTCGGGTTGCACGCCGCAACAGTGATACACTAATTATGATTATGAGGCCGAGGGCCTGAGATTGTACGCCACGAGGTGTCTTGTTGATATGAGGCTGAGAGCCTATTGATGATGCTACGAGATGGATTGATATTGCACTTGGGTCATAAAGGGCCCCTCCAGGAGTCCGCACACCCCCAGTGAGCGCAGGTATCCATTGTGATATGAGATAGAGCCCGAGGGGCTGGTATTGTTCCATGTGTTTTCCCGAGGGGCTGATTCTATTGATATTGTGCCTGAAGGGCGGTTCTTTATGTGTTTATCTTTTCTAGTTGCCTGTCATTTGCTTGCTTAACTGTTAAAAAGGTGCATCTTTAAAGAAGCTTAAATTGAACTAAGATG